TCCCCCAGCCTCTAAGAGGCACACAGTTTGTGCCTTGGTTTTAAAGTCAGTGCCTATTAAAATGCTACTGTCATTCACTCTCTTTGAACTGCAGATAGATTTGGCATGTGGGTGGAAAGTACAAAGGCCTGGGTACCTATAGGGAAAATGCTGTGTTCTCTTAATCATCAGCCACAGTCCAGAACACAACTGAAGTAGAGTGTAAAATGTAAACAACCTACTCTCACAGGTGTCCAGGAAAGAAGGTCATCCCATGAGGACAAGCGAGGGCAGAGGAAAAAGAGATACCTCAGACACCAATACCTAGGGAGATGCTGACCCCAAAATTGAGGGAATGTAACCAACTCATAGCAAGTGCCTCCAGCAACAATTGTCCTCAGCCTGCTTTGTGCATCTGCCACCTCAAGAGGGCTGGTTAGAACTGGTTGCCAGATTCAATAAGGTGGGGTAGGGCCTGAGAATCTGCTCCCAGGCCACACGTGTTGGTTGTCACAGCCTCTGCTCCAGAACCTAGCTGCTCCAACTAAGGTTTCTAGAGCTGCCTGGAAATTAATACAGGAAGCTTTCCAGCTCAGGAGTCACCTGTAGGACTTGGTTGATATGAAAGGATCCCCTTGTGTTCTTACTAGGCTTAAGTGAACCAATTTACAGCTGGTTTAAAACTGAAACCAGAAGTTGAACACCGAGATCCACTAAAGGTGCAGATACCTTCATCCCACCTCCCCGACCAGAACCTGCCAGTGATAGGTTCTCTTCTCACCCTTTCATTGCAAGAGCCAAACAGGCTAGCCAAGGAAGGAGATGAAATTAAGTGACTAAGGTTCAGCTCTTACCCTGTCATCTCTTCCCAACATCTGTCATTATTCCAGACCTCACTATTATAACACCAATTATGTGCCAAATATACCTTCTCTGTTTACACCCTTCAGTCTTGAAGATCCAAGTCAAACACACCTCCCCAGAACATCCCATATGTGCCTTGTCTGTGGCAAACTCTGAACATCCAGCAGTGTTCTCTGAAGGCCACAGCCTGGAACTCTCTGGGCCACTCATGCGGCATCACATCTCTTTCGTACTGTCATCTCTTAAATCATTCATAAAATCTGCACTGCTCAAATTTCTGCCTTTTCCCTAAAACCAGACTAAAAATCTCTTTGAAGTTTTGAGCTTCCCTCACACACCACAGTCTGGCAAAAACTAGATATTCAGGAAAACCCTGTCGTTTTATTGGTTGATAATCTTGAAAAGATAGCCTGAGGCTTGGAAGAGAAAAGTACCTTTTCCCATCATCCTTTAGAAGTTAACTGTTAAAACGGTGATTTTTGTCAGTGTGTGAGTTCCAATCTGCAAATATAATATCTCAGTACACAGGTTATAAATAAGGAATTTCAAAGGCATATTTTTCTCATTACTAATTCTTCATTTCCAGGATTTCTATTTAGTACAAAGGCAAAAAAAATACTGGAAGGGCAATCAAAACATAAATTCAAAACTTGTTATTCTTACATTTTATTCTACTAGCCAGAAAACTGGTTGTACCTAAGAGGTTTTTTCTGCCTTTTCCCAGTTCAGGAATGCTGCACCGAGTTTATGAGAATCAGGAATAACAAGGAAGGCATAAAGACAATATATGACCTAACTGGGGTCCCTACCAGACCCAAGTATTGAGTGGCAGAAGCAATGAGCTGCACGGGCCTCTGTCTAAATGTGCAATTTCCCCCTACAAACCCAATGTCAAACCTTCTATTCCTTTTCAAGGGCATTAGTTTTGGAAGGGTCCTCAGAAGTCATCTGATTAAAACGTCACATTGAAACTGAGGGCAAGTTGGGCCCAAGAAGGGATTTAACTTGGTGCACCCACACTAAAAGCTAAGACTCAGCTCAGCCCAATCTGCATTCAGCTGGTAGTGTTCCATTTCACTGTTTCAGTAAAAAAAAGTCATTTCAGAAGGTTGTTCTGTTCTACCCCACCCTCTACTTTAGTCCTTCACTCAAAATTCAGTTATTCAGAACCTATTATGCACCAGACACACAGTTCCCAGGGCTTGCAGTAAAGGGTAAACAAACAGATGAAGATCCCTGCCTCATCCAGCTTCTACATCCTGCTCTTTCTGGTTCACGGTGTCTGGGAGGGGAGGGAAAGGAGGAAAGGACAACTGAGATGCAGAAGGGGAAGAAAGTGATCTGCTCTTTTATCTCTTTCACGTATTTGTTTATATCTTTTATGTTGGGAGCCACTGGAGCTGGGAATTGGTCATATGTGTGAGGGCAGGACAGAGCCAGAGTGGTCATA